ACACGTGACACAGTTACGGGGACATAAACTATTACATAATCTACTGGTATCGTAATATCCGTCCTTACATGATGTACACTGACCATTATCACAATAACAATTTTCAGGACAGTAACGATAACGGCAATCCTTGCTACCATTGGCGTTGTAATATTCTTCCTTGCATGATGTACACGTGGTACTTGACGTGCATGTTTTACATCCGGGTAAACACTTTGATGTGCAGTCTCTAGCAGGACCGGGGTAATAGCCATCATAACACCTAGTACACCTATCTGCACGATCAGGGCATTTTGTACAATTGTGTGTACATCGCGAGTAGCACCGAGCACCTCTATGACCATCAATACAGCCTAGAGTACAATCTGTAGAAGTAAAATGCCCTTTTTCACATTTTCTATCTATACAGCATGCACAATCTACTTGACATGTTTCGTCAACCTCTGTAATAAAAATAAAGTCATACTTCCTTATAAAATTATCATATAGAAATTCAATGTATAAAGCTATGAATCTATCATTTTAATTTGAATTGCTGGACAGTTTACGTTGTATCATCGAAATTATGTTAAAATATGTCTAGAGTTCATTATATGCATAATAAATAACCAAAAAATATCTTAAAATATACATAAGATGTATACCAAAGCCTGAAGTTAATAATCAAAGAAAACACATACCTCCTTGCGAGTTGTAAACAAGTTGAAACATACATATTGTACATAGCATCTGTAACAAAAATTAGGTATTTCATTATTTCAGAAGTGTTATGATGTATTGTTATGTCTGATATAAGATCAAGGTAGTATGTATAACACTTATTAGGGTGTTTGCTATATACGCATTTCTATAGAACACATACACGTGTATAATATTTCTACTAGACAGATATAATATTTCTACAATTTCTAAAATAGTTCTAAGCGATAAGTATAATATTTTTGCAGAACAAGTATAATGTTTCTACGGGGCAAGTATAATATTTCTACAGTACAAGTATAATAGTTCTACTTGACGAGTATAGTATTTCCAATATTTCTAAAGAATAAAATGCCCAGACATTTCTACAGAACATGTATGATATTTCTTCATAACAAGTAATATGAAATTAGGCGAAGCCTATGAACGGGGAAGTCTGTTAAAAATCGTTCATTTTTCGCTCCGTTTTCACTCGGAATACACAACGATAATTATTAATCCGAAAAGTTGCGATTGTTCGTTATCGGAATAACCCGACTATTATCATTGACTATTATCATTGAGTTACATTGAAAATGGCGGCGCCCGGACCCGCATTGCGGCCCCGGCCTTTGACTTCCCCGTATATTATTTCATCAGAAATGATATGCAGACATAATAATATTTATTCAAAACAAGTACTATATTTCTTCAAAAATTATACTTTTTCTTCAGAAAGTATATTTCTACAGAACGAGTGCAATATTTCTACAGGACAAGTAAAATTTTTCTACAAGTTGAAGAAAAAAATTGTCATTACGAGACAGGACTTAGTATGGAAAGATTTTATATTATTCATAAGGGTTATGTACAGAAACATATAATTCGACATACTATCAAATATTGTCCGCGAATATTTACTTGTTATTATATACCTCAACAAGATACATGTTAATCTAATTCCAAAGATTAAGTATCAAGCTCAAGAAAATACAAAGAATATTATTCAAATGAGTTTGTGTCATCTATTATCAAATAAAGTTTTTTAAGGTGTGACGCAACGTTTAATAGTGCAATTAGTCATAACTGAACCTGCATACAAGGATAAACAAGAAACCACAGTGACCCTTTATCACCCTTTATATTATTTACCCTTTATGATTTGTATGTTCTTGTTATACTGTATATAAATGTTCTTATTATTGTACTAAATTCATGCAAGAGTTATCTTTCTTTTTACGAGAAAGATAATATATTATTGCATGTATCTCAATGTATATAAATACAAATTCTGATTGTAATTTAAGGAGAAAATAATGTTTTAAAGATTACTATATAGTCTTAACAAATTTATATTAAAGTCATACTTTAAATGATATGAAATGAAATTATTAAGAATATTAAGCTTACTTAGGTCATGCTTGACTGTCTCCAATGAAAAGTTCATGTAGATCTTATATCAATTTTGTTCGCTGTATTATGCACGTAAATCATGCTCACTTTGTATTTGTACATGTATATATGTATGCTTGTGGTGCCATTATGGGCGAATAGCCTTATTTAATAAATGAAATAAACTCAAAACTCAAACTCACTCATCGGACTATTAAGCCTTAAATGAGATGGGACAAATAATATGCAAAACAAGTATAATGTCTAATTGTTTTGAAAAAGATATGAAAGTAAAAAATATGCATTTGAAAATGTGCACAATTTTCATTGCTATATCTCTAAATACGACAACGTGACATGTTAGCTATAGATCGCTCATCCGAGATCTATTGCTGGAGAAGTAACGGCTGCAATGAAATGTCATGTGTCAAACATAGGTACTCAACGTATTTTACTACCGTAGTAGAGAATTTATATGACTTTTTTTTTTATTTATGAAGATTATATAACCAAAGTTATCCCAATGTGGTGGGAGACATTTTCAATCCCAGGTGCATGCTTATAATTTTGTTGCAGTCTTCAAAGTAATGCTTCATGTCAAATATCTATATTCTGTGCATTTTAGTTTAATACAAAAAAGGTATAAATGTGTTTTCATTTATAAGTCTATATAAACTGAGTGATCCGCTCCACTGTTAGGTCATTTCTTTATCTAATAATCAAGGTATGTTTTATGCTTAATATATACGTTCTGGACATTGAAGAATATATTTTTACATATTCTATTTGAACTAAATAAAGAATATATTTTGAAATATGTTAAATTCATGATTTTATTTTAACTAAATGATCCCGGGTGGAGACAAAAAAAGACCTCTAGACGATGCTTCATGTTAAATATCTAAGCTCTTTGCATTGAAGTTTCTTGTGGCTTTTATCACATGTTTACTAATAGATTTGATTTGGTTTGATTTGGGGAAAATGTTCATCCTAACGGCATTTTTATTTGTTTGGGTTGTCAAAACAAACAAATAATGATAGCGAAATTTCAGACCCTGATATGCTTATTTGCAAAATCCGAAAGTAGTCCGAACTCCTCGAAGCGGTTACTTCCCTTTATAAGTACAATCACGCCGAAAAATTGAGGGGAGATCACTTAGTAAAGATTGTCAAATGACAGGCGCATTAATTTTCAAGCCTTCTCGAGGAAGAAAAAATAGTTCTCGATTGGTCAAAGATTTCTAATATTGTGTAATTCTTTATATATTAAGCTCCATGAGTATTTACATCAGTGTTAAACATCAGGTTAACCGTGAACAAAGTATCTCGAAATTAATAAGGGTTACAAATCTGAAAACAAATTGAGTTAGCAAACTCTAATTTAGAATAATGTGGTTTTCTTCAGTCTGTCATTTAATAACTTCCCTGTGGCCGAGGGGTTACACGCTCGTTTAGGAAGCGAGACGTCTGGAGTTAAAATCCCAGTTAAGACAACTCATGTTTGTTTGTTTTTTAAGAAAAATAAACATTGAATTGAATATCAGTGTTGCAACTAGCCTTATAGCCAATTTACTACAGTTATAACAATGGAAACAGCATTGGTTCTGAGACCCAAACAAATTCAGCGCCTTCTGTGCTTTGATAAGTACATGCAGGTAGTTGTGTTTATTTATCTATTTCGAGTACGCTGAATTCTTTTTTTGCTCTACTACAGCTTTACTTTTGGTCCTTGACCCTTTAAAAATCAATTTAAAATGGTCGCCATTGTTTTTTATTGTTACTTTATTGCTCCCACAGGCAAGATAAAACGCATCTTTTTGAAATTTAATTTAAAGTTTTGCTTATTTAAGTCGGCTGAAGTATGAACAAGAAGAATAAATGGGGGAAAAAAGATAAATTTAATGCGACAGCCATCTTGGATTTAAAAATGACGTTTCTTTCTACTGTTTAATATTTAACGTTAACACGCGCAAGAAGGCTTTTTACTTAGCTTGTTTTATTGTATTAAAATGAATATTAGTGCAAGTGATACCAATTAAGACTTACAAGGCCAAACTTATTAAACCTACAAATTCATGGTGCAAAAAGGTCACATTATGCCAAAATAAATGAGAATCATATTTGTATATGTCATTTAAATGTTATCTTTATACTTCCAAGCATACAAAAGAAATGTTCTTTTAAACTATTGCAATGCTTTTTTTATTAGTTTTTATCGCTTGAGGCTTGAGGGAAGCCTGCTCAAATGTCTGTCCATCCGTCCGAGCGTCCTCATATGCCAGTAAGGTATATTTGACGGTTTTTAAGTTGGCGTTGAAATTAATATCGTATACGCCCAACCTTTAGAATGAATAATTGGTTTTTGGGGCAAAAAGGCTGTTTTTTGCAGTTTGAAAATATAATGAAGATCACAAACATCCGCACACGTCAACTCTGTGTATGTCTGTTTGTTTTTAATCCCTTTCATCACTGTCATTCTTGGATGGATTTTTAAATAAGTTGCACGAATGTATCAGATGCTACGGTTGTGAATGGTCCCATTTAATGTATTTAGTAATATTATTTAGTAAATTCAAGTGATTATGATCCGTAGTCGACTGACAGACATGTATTAGTCTATGTTTACTGCCTAATCGTTGTGCCGCAATTTTGTCTACAAGGGAGTTTTAGCACGAATGCGCTAGATTTGTGATAGATATTTCATGAACGGGAAGGACTAGAGACTTTGTGTTGGTCTCATTTGGAAGCTTAATACAAACTTGAAATAGTGATAAAAGGTTTTTTTATTAACTGGACAACTGTTTTCACAACGTCCCGGAAATGAACCCCTTGCTCGTAGACTCGAATCTGGAGTTTCCGGCCTTCTCTTAACTTATAGTATATTTTAAAGGGGCCCGTACATGTATTCCACTCTTTCTTTTGGTTTTTGACAAATTTAAGGTGAACACAGAGGTTTTTTATCAATGTGGTCATATTTTCTTCCCAGGTCCGATACTCTTACACGTGCCTGTAGTTTATCCCATAAAAGCATGCACACTAATTTAGATGAAAGATAGTATTCCAGTTCTAGATCTATATATAGGTAACCGACAAAATCATAGCCCGTAGACGCCCCTTTATGAGGATTTTTGTCGTCCATTTTGTTATCATGTGGTATTTAATTCTCTGTTTAATTTGGCCTAGGGCAGATGGTGTATAGGTACAAATGGTCAAATCTTGTAAATTGTATTTATCCTGTCACTTGTATCAATTTCGGCCCGATAACAAGGTGCCGTATATTTTTACTGATCTACGGCACTTGATCACGTGGTATGCATGTTTGCCGGACTACTTTTCAAGAAAAAATATATAAACTGTCGGTGTAGAATAACGAATTTTGGAAACGATGATAAAACTTTGTTTTTGTCTTTTTTATTTCACTCTATAATCAAGCGAAATAAAAATTATTAAAAGTGAAATAAATGTAATTATTACATGCTTTTCGGTGGTTTATAGAAATATATCAGTGATATAAAACTGGTAATTTCACTGTTTGAAACAGTGAAATTACCACTTTGATAATCTCACTGTTTTGAATTTAAGCCCCTTACGTTGTTTCAGTGACATACCAGCGTGCACAGAACTGGGTACCAACTTAATGACATGACGTCGTAAATGAC